TTACTTGGAGGAGGAGTTATTGACCATCTTGTGGAAGGTCAGGCCCATACGTACTTAGGGATGCAGATTAGGGACAAACTCCAGATTGCCCATATCAAGGGCAAACTTCGGGCAGAGTACAAATGTAGACTTAAGAAAATCTGGAGTTCAGAGCTGAACGCTCGCAATAAAGTCAAAGCCACAAATACTTATGCTGTGCCCGTCCTTTCGTATTCTTTTGGTGTTGTTGATTGGACGAAACAAGAAATTCAGGGTACTGACACCCTCACACGAAGAATCATGGCAGACTAGATCACAGCCACCCTCGCTCTTCCCTCAATCGCTTATATTTATCAATGATGATGGGAGGGCGTGGTTTGATTAATGTGGAGGCTATTCATGATAGAATTGCTTTGTGCACTTTTGCACAGATGTATTTGTCTGATGATCCTCTTGTGAAGCATTTCAAGGCTCATGATGAAAACAAGGCATTCCACAGTGTTATAAAACGAGCCAAGGATGTGGGACATATCTCAATGTCGGTGTTGATTTTGTTGATGGTTTTGTACTGCTCGACGGTACAGAAATGAGTGTCAACCAAGCGAAGTGCCATATCAAGTCGGCCCAGACTCAGTTTTTCAAGGAGAGGTATCTGAACGACCACTGCATCGAGTTTATGTGCAGTGAGTTGAAAAGATCAGCATCCCTGCAGAGTCCTTCGCCTGGATGAGGTCGGCTGGCCTGAAAAGTGAAACAGAAGGCGTTCTGTTCGCTGCTCAGGACCAGTCACTTCCCACTCGAAACCGTGAATGTGTGATTTTGCATCAAAATGTAAATATGAAATGTAGATCATGTAATGAATTTAATGAGACTGCTAACACATCACATTGTGAGTGGGTGCCCAACTTTGGCACAAACACAGTATCTTAAACGACATGATGGTGTAGCTCGATCTTTTTATTACTGTCTTCGCCATGCTTGTGGTTTCGACACAGATGTCAAACCCATGGTACGACCCGGAATATGTAGAGGGCGTCATGGAAAAATGATAAATACAAAATCCTTTGGAATAGGCCCATTTACAGCCTTAGACGTATCCAGGCCAACAAACCTGATCTGGTCCTTTTTCATAAATCCAATGACATCATTTATATCATGGAATTTTCTCTCCCCTTTGACACTAATGTGATTGACAAGTTTCGGGAAAAACATGGCAAGTATGCGGACCTCGCTTTCGAAATGTCACACTTGCACCCAAGTATCAAGTTGTCCGACTCCCCATTGTTCTCGGTGCCTTAGGTTTGGTACCTCCCAATCTGTTGACTGACATTGGGAGAGTACCCGTTTTTGCTACCAGGGATACAGCCCTTCTGCCAATCTGGGTAACGCAGAAGGCAGCAGTGTTGGGGAGTCTTCACATTCTCCGAAAAGTTCTGGGTTGGTTTGACCAGGCAGCGCTTCCTGGGAGAAGTCCAATTCGCTGTGTGGGTTGCGTGTAGAGGGGGCAAGGGACATGACCTGATGATGAGCCTAACCAGCCTGACTGTGCTAGGATTACCCAAACCCTTTTTACTGCATTTAAAAACACCCCCCTAATAATCTGTAAATAATAATAATAATAATAATAATAATAATAATAATAATAATAATAATAACAATGATAAAAAATAAATAAAAAAATAAATGTGTTTAACGCTTCTCTTAACAATAATGTGATGGCGTTTCAGCCTATTGCAATGGTAGTAAATTCTCCAAGTCGGTTCGTAGACGTTTAACACTTTGGGAAAATCCACGAACTCGAGTATAGTGCTGACAGACGAAGGATTATAATCAGGGCGAACCTGGATCGTTGCACTCAGTTTATTGCATATGATAGGGATAAGCAAAGTATTTCAGGTTTTGAGTAAAAGGAATGTCTACTCCAAGAGTTGCATAGAACGTACTGTGTCATTTTAAATAATAATTAAAATAACATTTGTAATGGAACACTCTTCACCTTTCTCTCAATGACCTGAAGACAGATGTTTGTTTGTTGTTTAGCGCCGCACTCAGCAATATTCCAGCTATATGACGGCGGTCTGTAAATAATCGAGTCTGGATCAGACAATCCGGTGATTGATATCATGAGCATCGATCCACGCAATTGGGATCGGTGACATGCATCAACCAAGTCAGCGAGCCTGACAACACGATCCTGTCAGTCGCCTTTTACGACAAGCATAGTCGCCTTTTACGGCAAGCATGGGTTGCTGAAGACCTATTCAACCCCGGATCTCTGAAGACGGATGTACGGGTATTGGGCCGCCACACTAAGAATCACGATCGGGGAAATCTAGGATTCGAACCCATGACCGAACATAAGGCAGTCACTGCCCCGACACACCGACGTGGGGGGAGGGTAATGGAGACAGACATTGCTCCGATGTGGAAACCCACGTGGCTGGGGGTTATTGTGACCACGTAGCTGGGGTTATTGTGACCACGTGGCTGTGGTTATTGTGACCACGTGGCTGGGGGTTATTGAAACGCACGTGGCTGGGGTTATAAAGACACATGGCTGGGTGTTATAAGATTCACGTGGCTGGGGGTAATAAAGACTCAAGCGGCTGGGGGTTATGGAGACTCACTTGGCTGGGGTTATTATGACCACGTGACTGGGGGTTATGGAGATTAATGTGGCTGGGGGTTATAGAGACTCACGTGGCTGGGGTTATTGAAACACACATGGCTGGGGGTTATAGAGACTCACGTGGCTGGGGGTTATAGAGATTCATGTGTCTCGGGGTTATAGAGACTTGCGTGTCTGGGGGTTAAAACGACTGACGTTGCTGGGGGTTATAGAGACTCACAAGGCTGGGTGTTATAGAGATTCACGTGGCTGGGGGTTATAGAGACCTACGTGGCTTGGGGTTATAACGACTGACGTGGCTGGGGGGTCATAGAGACTCACAAGGCTGGGGGTTATTGAGACTCACGTGGCTGGGGTTTATAGAGACTCACGTGGCTGTGGGTTATAGAGATTCACGTGGCTGGGGGTATTGAGACTCACAAGGCTGGGGGTTATAGAGACTCATGTGGCTGGGGGTTATAGAGACTCACGAAGCTGGAGGTTATTGAGACCACGTGTCTGGGGGTTATAGAGACTCATGTGGCTGGAGGTTATTGAGACTCACGAAGCTGGGGGCTATAGAGACTCACGTGGCTGGGGGTTATTGAGATTATATGGTTGGGTGTTATAGAGATTCATGTGGCTGGGGGTTATTGAGATTCAAGTGGCTGGGGGTTATAGAGACTCACGTGACTGGGGGCTATAGAGATTCATGTGGCTGGGGGTTATAGAGACTCACGTGGCTGGTGGTTATTGAGACTCAAATGGCTGGGGGTTATTAAAACCACGTGTCTGGAGGTTATCGAGACCACGTATCGGGGGTTATTGAGACCACGTGTCTGGAGGTGATCGAGACCACGTGTGGGGGGTTATTGAGACCACGTGGCTGGGAGGTTATTGAGACTCACGTGGCTGGGGGTATTAGAGATTCACGTGGCTGGGGGTTATAGAGATTCAAGTGGCTGGGGGTTATTGAGATTCATGTGGCTGGGCGTTATAGAGACTCACGTGGCTGGGGGTTATAGAGATTCACGTGTCTCGGGGTTATAGAGACTTACGTGGCTGGGGGTTATAACGACTGACGTGGCTGAGGGTTATAGAGACTCACAAGGCTGGGGGTTATAGAGACTCATGTGGCTGGAGGTTATAGAGACTCACGTGGCTGGAGGTTATTGAAACCACATGACTGGGGTTATTAAGACCACGTGGCTGGGGCTTTTAGAGGCTCATGTGGCTGGAGGTTATAATACTCATGTGGCTGGAGGTTATTGAGACCACGTGGCTGGGGGTTATAGAGACACACGTGTCTGGGGGTTATTGAGGTTCACGTGGTTGGGGGTTATAGAGACTCACGTGGCTGGGGGTTATAGAGATTCACGTGGCTGGAGGTTATAGATACTCACGTGGCTGGAGGTTATTGAGACCACGTGTCTGGGAGTTATTGAGGTTCACGAGGCTGGGGGTTATAGAGACTCACGTGGCTGGGGGTTATAGAGATTCGCGTGGCTGGAGGTTATAGATACTAACGTGGCTGGAGGTTATTGAGACCACGTGTCTGGGGGTTATTGAGGTTCACGTGGTTGGGGGTTATAGAGACTCACAAGGCTGGGGGTTATAGAGACTCATGTAGCTGGAGGTTATAGATACTCATGTGGCTGGAGGTTATTGAAACCACATGACTGGGGTTATTAAGACCACTTGGCTGGGGGTTTTAGAGACTCATGTGGCTGGAGGTTATAATACTCACGTGGCTGGAGGTTATTGAGACCACGTGGCAGGGGGTTATAGAGACACACGTGTCTGGGGGTTATAGAGACTCATGTGGCTGGAGGTTATTGGGACCACGTGGCTGGGGGTTATAGAGACACACGTGTCTCGGGGTTATAGAGACTCATGTGGCTGGAGGTTATTGAGACCACGTGGCTGGGGGTTATAGATACTCACGTGGCTGGAGGTTATTGAGACCACGTGGCTGGGAGTTATTGAGATTCACGTGGCTAGGGGTTATTGAGACTCACGTGGCTGGGAGTTATTGAGATTCACGTGGCTAGGGGTTATAGAGACTCACGTGGCTGGGAGTTATAGAGACTCGCGTGGCTAGGTTTTTTAAGAGACTCACGTGGCTTGGTGTTATAGAGACTCACGTGGCTGGGGGATATAAAGACACGTGGCTTGGGGTTATAAAGACTCACGTAACTGGGGGATAATGGTCATGTGGCTGGGGGTTATTGTAGCATGAATGGGGGTTATGGAGACTCACTTGGCTGGGAGTTTATTAGGCCACGTGTCTGGAAGTTTTTGAGAACACGTAGCTTGAGATTATTGATATGGCATTGCAGATTAACAATAGTAATTTAAAAGCTTCGGGTGGTCCTTAACTTCTTTTGAGTAGTATAAATGGTTGTCAACTCACATAGCCGGCGTCATCCTCGGACGTCGGGGGCGTAACGATTAGGTTCCTCATGCTATGGTCAAATGCTGTCATCTGTAATCCATAGTTGAGGGACGGTCTGTCCACCCAGTCCTGCACAGTCTTTCTAATGTCCAACTGATGCCAGTTCCGAGCCCTCTTAGGGAACAGCTTCTTGTATCGTAGATATATTTTCCGGGGCGGGTTGCCCTCCTGGGGCTTAAATGTACGGATGTGCAGCTCAACCGCCGTTTTCTGCTGCCTTGATGGTCTAACGTAGTACCACAGCACAGCCTTTTTGATATAGGAGTCTCTTGTCTCATCGGGAAGGTTGAAGTAAGCCACATAACTCTCATTCAAATTACGATCCGGAGGAGCTGAAAGAATGCAAACAAATACAGTAAACTACGGTTATAACGAACACAAAGGGACGACTAACTTTAGTTCGTAATAACAATAGTTCGTTATAAGCATATACATGTATACAAAATACACACAACACACGGGCGGGACTAAAATTAAGTTCGTTATATGAATCAGTTCGTAATAAGCGTGTTCGTTATAAACGTAGTTTACTGTACTAAAGAATCATAGAAGGATGATGGACCATGAATAAAATGCTTAAAACCATCTAACCAACTCAGAACTACATGAGCGGGTCATAGGCCTCAGGTGAACACTTGACTTGGTATTGCATGTGTTTGATAAGGGTGTCACCTGTTGTTGCAGGACACATTCACCTTTTCTAGAACACCTGGTATCACCTTTTGATAGTGATTCATAGACACATGCTTATGATATAGTCAGAATTCTACAATAGATGTCTTATGATAATGGAAATGACTTGGTCGCTCTGTTTATACTTGGGTTATAGACCGCCTCCGTGGTCTAATGGTAGAGCGTCCGCCCGGAGAGCGGAAGGTCCGGGGTTCGATCCCCAGCCGCGTCATACCAAAAGATGTTAAAAGATGGTACTTGTTGTTACCCTGTCTGGCGCTCGGCATTAAGGGGCTAAAACAAGGACTGGTCGGCTCGTTGTCAGTATACTGTGTCTGAGTGGGGTATTCATGTTAAACTGCGGCATGGTATCTCAGTGGACTAGCACTATAAATCGGCATCAGTCCGGACTAGTACAAGCAGCCACACACACACACATACATACACGTCGCTATATAAGTGCAATAATCTTGGACGCGACGTTAAACCCCATTTCACCTAACCTCACTTGGGTTATACGTTTTAGCAACTGTCATTCAGCATCATAGTCATAACCAGAACGAGATTCACCCTTTGTGTGAAAAGCCTGCTTCGCCCCGATTATGTTTCTAGGTTTGTCAGGACCATACCCCTGCAGGTAGGTGTCACCAAAATGGTAACCAGAATCATTTCGGGGTCTTCACCAACATCACGCTTACACACCTGAAATACGGTTCAAAGCTGTGTTCAGTCGAATTCACTCACTCTTGTGTGCCAGTGAGGTGAGGTGAGGTGAAATGGGGTTTAACGTCGCGTCCAAGATTATTGCACTTATATAGCGACGTGCATGCACGTGTATGTGTGTGTGGCTGCTTGTACTAGTCCGGACTGATGCCGATTTATAGTGCTAGCCCACTGAGATACCATGCCGCAGTTTAACATGAATACCCCACTCAGACACTGACTCCGAGCCGACCAGTCCTTGTTTTAGCCCCTTAATGCCGAGCGCCAGACAGGGTAACAACAAGTACCATCTTTTAACGTCTTTTGGTATGACGCGGCTGGGGATCGAACCCCGGACCTTCCGCTCTCCGGGCGGACGCTCTACCATTAGACCACGGAGGCGGTCTGTGTGCCAGTGGAATAGCACCCGGCAACCTCTTAGCTCCTTAGTTTAAGGAGGGATTATGCTCCACTGTTGAGGAGCTAGGCCGACATTTCTGAACGTTGTTATAAGTGCGCTGCGTTGTTTTTTAGCATGCAGGGTAATTGTTTACGTTACTGATCGATATGCGTCTTTCGATTTGAGTTATCAAAGAGGATTGTGAAGGCCATGAATGTCATTTGCTGAGGCTGCAATTTGATGAAGATAAGAGCCCAATAGTTGTTTACAATTCACGCCACTTACGTCCATTGTTCAAGACAGCGTCAACACTCACGTCAACATTCAACGTCACACATGATCCAGCTGTGGAATATGGGGAGTGGGTTTAACCAAGGGCGCACCCAGCGTTATCGTTGACGTAAATGGCCAGGCGAATGTGATGGGATGACCTAAGCTGAGATCAGGAAAAGGACCAACTTTGGCTATGTTAGTTAAGAGATACGCCAGCAATGTCCTTCTTCTCGTCTCAGTTATTTATTTGCAGTGACTCCTTACCAGTATTACCCGTTTTTGAATTTCAATACAGTAAACTACGGTTATAACGAACTCAAATAGACCACTAATTTTAGTTGGTTATAACCGTAAGTCGTTATAAGCATATATAACACATCTATACAGCAAATGGCCTGGACCAAAAATAAAGTTCGTTATATCCGTCAGTTCGTTATAAGCGTGTTCGTTATAAACGTTTTTTACTGTATTCTATTGGATTTTAACTCGCTATGATTTATTACCCTTTGTATGTCACTACAGTTTTGAATCACCATATGATTAAAGGCTTATTGTATTATCACAAGTGTGGTTTATAACCATATGGTTAATGACTAATTGTATTTATCACTACTGTGTTTTATCACCATATGATATATTACTTATTTCATTTATCACTAATGTATTGGATAACCATATGATTTATTACTTATTATATTTATCACAACTGTGTTTTATCACCATATGATTTATTACTCATTTCATTTATCACTAATGTATTGGATAACCATATGATTTATTACTTATTATATTTACCACTACTGTGTTTCATCACCATAATTATGAATAATTACTTATTATATTTATCACAACTGTGTTTTATCACCATTTGTGTTATTACTTATTGTATTTATCACAACTGTGTTTTATCACCATATGATTTATTACTTATTATATTTATCACAACTGTGTTTTATCACCATATGATTTATTATTTATTATATTTATCACAACTGTGTTTTATCACCATATGTGTTATTACTTATTATATTTACCACTACTGTGTTTTATCACCATAATTATGAATAATTACTTATTATATTTATCACAACTGTGTTTTATCACCATATGATTTATTACTTATTGTATTTATCACAACTGTGTTTCATCACCATAATTATGAATAATTACTTATTATATTTATCACAACTGTGTTTTATCACCATGTGTGTTATTACTTATTATATTTATCACAACTGTGTTTTATCACCATATGTGTTATTACTTATTATATTTACCACTACTGTGTTTTATCACCATAATTATGAATAATTACTTATTATATTTATCACAAATGTGTTTTATCACCATATGATTTATTACTTATTGTATTTATCACAACTGTGTTTTATCACCATATGATTTATTACTTATTATATTTATCACAACTGTATTTTATCACAATATATTATTACTTATTATATTTATCACAACTGTGTTTTATCACCATGTGTGTTATTACTTATTATATTTACCACTACTGTGTTTTATCACCATAATTATGAATAATTACTTATTATATTTATCACAACTGTGTTTTATCACCATATGATTTGTTACTTATTGTATTCATCACAACTGTGTTTTATCACCATATGATTTATTACTTATTATATTTATCACAACTGTGTTTTATCACAATATGATTTATTACTTATTATATTTATCACAAAAGTGTTTTATCACCATATGATTTATTACTTATTATATTTATCACAACTGTGTTTTATCGCCATATGATGTATTACTTATTGTATTTATCACTACTGTATTGGATCACCATATGATTTATTACCCATTATAAAAATCACTACAGTATTGTATCGCCATATGATGTATTACTTATTGTATTTATCACTACTGTGTTTTATCACCATATGATTTATTACTTATTATATTTATCACAACTGTGTTTCATCACAATATATTATTACTTATTATATTTATCACAACTGTGTTTTATCACCATGTGTGTTATTACTTATTATATTTATCACAACTGTGTTTTATCACCATATGTGTTATTACTTATTATATTTACCACTACTGTGTTTTATCACCATAATTATGAATAATTACTTATTATATTTATCACAACTGTGTTTTATCACCATATGATTTGTTACTTATTGTATTCATCACAACTGTGTTTTATCACCATATGATTTATTACTTATTATATTTATCACAACTGTGTTTTATCACAATATGATTTATTACTTATTATATTTATCACAAAAGTGTTTTATCACCATATGATTTATTACTTATTATATTTATCACAACTGTGTTTTATCGCCATATGATGTATTACTTATTGTATTTATCACTACTGTATTGGATCACCATATGATTTATTACCCATTATAAAAATCACTACAGTATTGTATCGCCATATGATGTATTACTTATTGTATTTATCACTACTGTATTGGATCACCATATGATGTATTACTTATTGTATTTATAACTACTGTATTGTATGGCCACATTCGACTATTCAACAAATCATGAAGGCTGTGGTTAAATCATTACTGAATATGTTACTGAAACAAGATGGCATATTGTATCACATCAGTATTTATTTGTGGTAATTAATCATGTTATGGTTATTTTTACAAGTCGTTTTCGATTGTTCGACAAAACATCAAAGCATGTAGTGGATCGTTTATAATATAATATAATATAATATAATATAATATAATATAATATAATATAATATAATATAATATAATATAATATAATATAATATAATATAATATAATATAATATAATATGTCAAGAACCTCGTATATTCTAGAAGTCCCTAAGCATATCATCTGCAATCTGTATAACTTACATTTGCTACTAGCTTTCTTTCATCAACTGATATGAAAATTTGTTAGGAAACGCCTCGATAGATAATTCAAAAACACCGACCCCATGGCCCTAATTTACAAGGGGTCAAAGTTGAAGCCTGAGAAGCCTTATCAAGCCAAGATACCCCTTAAAGCTGTCGGTTGTCATCACACTGGTCACGTGCTGCTGTCAAACGCACCCCAGCTGGTTTGGTTTCCGGGATTTTATCATGTAAGCTGCACCTTACATCGTGGTAATACTTCGGAAGGTCAGGCGTTAATATCAAATATCTCATATAATTATGGATGTTTAATAATGGCATGTTCCTCATTAGCTGAGGGCTAAGAAGAAGAACAGTGACATCTTGGAACATTAAATACATAGGTTAGGCGAGACATTGTATCAATA